GGAGGGAGCTGGGGGAGCTGGGCCCTGAAGCAAAGCTGGAGGCCCTGAAAGTGGGGTTGCCAGTTTGGGGAAAAGTTTAAGGAAGGGCAGAGGAAGGATCCTGGTGCCACAGCTAATGGCAAATGTCTCCCTCTTTGGTCCCCTGGCTGACTACGACATAGCAGGTGGTGGGCATAATTTGTCTCGATTATAATGCTAGGGGATGCAGGAAACCCACTCACGCACAGCTCTTGTACAGTGGCAAGGGAAACAACATGCCAAGGATGGGCTGTATAATCAAAAGCTGGAATTCTCTGGTCTGGTGAAATCACAAGAAATGTTTCAATAAATAACTGGCGCCTTGTTTTCAGGTGCACAGCTCAAACATGAGCATTCAGCGAAAATGCCACTGCTGGATTTTATTGTTAAAAGATCCAGGCAGCCAGTCAAAATTTCTGGCACACAGTCCAGATGTCAGAAAAAATAAACACCACCCAAACTGGAGGCTGGTATTTTTCTGGCTTTCTGGGAACACTAGAAGGACTTCCAAGGTGCTGAATTGTCACAAATAAAAGTCTCTGCTCAGAGCTTCTTGGAGGAAGGATGGGGGAAGAAATACGATCTCAAAGCCCATGTCCTCTTGACTGTAAGTACCTGGTACAAGTCTGGTTGACGAGGTCCTGTCGCCGTGATTCAAAGGCCATCTGGACGAGCTTGCTCTTGTACGTTTCCGCCAGCATCTGCTGCATGGCCGCTGCAGGGGCAGAAAACTCCGGCAGTCAATGGCCTGCTCAGACCCCTCCTCGTGCCCTACAATAAGCCAGGCTTCTGGAAAACTGCCCCCTTCTTCACTTCATAACGGTAGCAATGTTTCCACAGAAGCAAACCAGGAAGCCCGTCTAAACAGCTTCTAAATCTGCTTCTCATTGTTTCAAGTGCTGGCAGAGAAGGCGAGGGGAGGGCTAAGATGTTCCTTCGAGGGGCAAAGCAAGTTAGAGTTAGGCCTGCCTCTTGGACAACAGGAACCAGATCAGCAGGGTGTTCGTTGCTGGAGGAGAAACACTGATGTGTGCACATCCCAACTATAAAAACTTGGGTAGCTGTACGCAGAGGTCATTTCGGGGGGGGATCGCAGTTCCCCCGGGTGAGGTACGGGGGCGGGGCATATGACGAAGCCCCGCCCCCCGCTTCCGGCCGCCCCGCTTCCGGCCCTCATTCAGCCAGGAGGAGGCAGGAGAAGAGGGAGGGTAAGTTGCTTCCTCCCTGCCTCTCCCCACCCCTGCCTGCCTGGGGCCAGAGAGGGCCTTCGCGGGGCTTCCTTGCACTCCCGCCGGCCGGGACCGTTGGGGACGGGGTGTGTGGCCTTATGACACACTTCCAGTGATGTCAGGGGGTGTGGCCTTATGACACACTTCCGGTGATGTCAGGGGGTGTGGTATATGCTATTGGAGTACTGTGTACAGTTCTGATCACCACACGTCTATGAAATGACCCCTGGCTGTACGGAAGGGAGGGCAGGGCACAGCTGGGATTGAGCCTTCTCTCACCATGTGGTCTCAAAGGCCAGCCCTAAACACCCTACTGCAAACGCACCCCCACCCTTCCTGCTAGGAGCTCAGGTAGTGGACGTGCTTCCTACAGTGGCACCTCCTCCGTTGAGCTAGTGGATGGGTGACTCAGTGCAAGGGGGGACTCAAGGGAGCCGATGGGGCCTTGTGAAACATGCCCATCAACAAACTCACAGGCCACTTCCCTCCTGCGCAGCTGCTCCGCCTCCTCCTGAGTAATGGCCATCAGCTGCTCCATCCTGATCCTAGAAAGCAACGAGGAAAAGTCAGCTACTGCATGGTCAAGGCAAGAGCTTCCCTTGATTATTTCACAGTCTGCCTTCTGCAGGTCACCATACTGCTGGGTTTGACTCAAGATCCGTCTAGTCCAGCATCCTGCTTCTGGCACTGGACAGCCAGATGCCTTTGGTGGTTTCACAAGGGATGGCCAGAGGCTGGAGATGAAGCAGTACTATCTCACAGTATCATCATGGCCCTGAATAAATTGATGGTGCGACCTCATTTGGAGTACTGTGTACAGTTCTGATCACCACACCTCAAAAAGGATATTATAGCACTGGGAAAAGTGCAGACAAGGGCAACTAGAATGATAAAAGGGTTGGAACACTTCCCCTATGAAGAAAGGTTAAAGCGCTTGGGGCTCTTTAGCTTGGAGAAACGATGGCTGAGGGGTGATATGATCGAGGTTTTTAAGATTATGCATGGGATAGAGCAGGTCGAGAAAGAAGATTTTTCTCCCTTTCTCACAATACAAGAACTCATGGGCACTCCATGAAATTGCTGAGCAGGCGGGTTAGAACAGATAAAAGGAAGTACTTCTTCACCCAAAGAGAGATTAACACGTGGAATTCACTGCCACAGGAGGTGGTGGCGGCTACAAGCATGGACGGCTTCAAGAAGGAATTGGATAAACATATGGAGCAGAGGTCCATCAGTGGCTATTAGCCACAAGGTATAGACAGGAACTCTCAGTCTGGGGCAAGTGATGCTCTGTATTCTTGGTGCTTGGGGGGGCAACAGTGGGAGGGCTTCTAGTGTCTCTGGCCCCGCTGCTGGATCTCCTGATGGCACCTGGTATTTTTGGCCACTGTGTGACAGAATGTTGGACTGGATGGGCCATTGGCCTGAACTGACATTGGCTTCTCTTATGTTCTTATGTTCAGTGAGGAATGGCCAAATGTCTTTTGGCATGCTGACCCAGCTGCTGTGCTTCCCAAAGCCATCCCAAGGGCAGACAAGAACTCACCGATCATTCTCCAGAGATTTCAGAATCTCAGAGTTCTGTTTTTGCCTAGAAAGAGAAAGAGGATGTTGTCAGACCA